GTGTAGGTAGCACTATGGAAGGAAGAACAGCAGTAACTCTTGGGAGACAGTGCTGCTCCCAGCTCTGCCCATGATTTGTGGGCCCATCCCTTAGCCTCATCTTCGAAAGAAAGGTCAGTACTGACTCCCAAGGTCTCAGTCATAATACAATCACGGACGGAGAAGTCCAGGAGCATTACTCAAACCCCCACTGTTTTTCAGGCATTTTGGTATTTAGGTAGGTTTATTGTCTCCCCAATTTAAAGGTGAGTTATACAAGTGCTGGTATGCAAATTAATATGAGCGACTAGGCACAAGTAAAAGAGAGAGAGAGAGAGAAAGGGAGAGGGAGAGAGAGAGGGAGGGAGGGAGAGAGAGAGAGAGAGAGAGAGGCCAAAGAGAAATCGACCTTGGGACAAGGCCAGAGGGCTTTGCTGAGCAGAGCCTGTGCCGTGGGAGCAGCCGCTCGGCCGTGTCCCTGGCAGATGTGTGGCCTTGCATCGTCTTGGGCAAGAAAGGGCCGAGAAGGTCTGACTGATAAAGACTGGAACAGAGGAGCCCAGCGTATGATTTATGGCCTTCAGCTGGGTACTAAGCCCACAGGGAATTCTGCAGCACAGATCTAGAATCCACGCTCACAGAAGAGTTTCGGAGAGGACATGGAGTCCTGGCTCCCTCCCTGGGTCTCCGGCCCCCACTTAACCTCTGTGCCCCTCCTTTCCAGCCTCCCCCTTTCTTCTTGCTTTCCTCTCTCCATGTCAGACCGGGATCAGTGTCTCCACTCAACAGCCCTGGCACCTGGACCCTGGGTCGGACAACAGAGGGTACTGGTTCTCCCCCCCCCCCCGACACACACCGGCTGGCTTGGCCCTGTGACATGCGGTGAAAGTTAGGATACATTGTCATCCATGGGTGCTTCCTGCCCCGGATGTTGCTCCTGGGACCCAGGCCCATCACCTTCCACCAGGAGCCATTTTCCCCGCAGTTCTGACTTTCAGGTGACAGAAGTTTGGCTCCTTCATTGGGCCTCAGGGAAGTGGGGGAGGAGAAGAGGCATGGCTTTGCCATGGGCTTTCTGCTTGGCAAGCAAGGAAGAAGAATTTATCTGCAGACATATTCTGCACAAAGGCCATCAAAATGCTCAGATGCCGTTCAGAAGAGGCCTTTTCCTGCTCCAAGCCTGGAACACGAAGGCTCACAAGGCTTTCTAAGGTCTTAAAACTTCTATTGGTAGGAAAATGGGCTTGGGTGGTGTGTGTGTGTGTAAATAAGAAACCCAGGCCCACAGATCCACACAGCTGAGGAACAGGGCTCGGAGGCTGACGCCTGTGGCCACCATTTTCTTCTGAGTCAACTCCTCTCTCTGTCCCATCTCCTCCTCTCCTTTTCTCTCCTCCCTCTTTTTTCTTTCTTTCTTAATATTAGTCTTTTCCCAGAAAATAAAGAGAGAAGGAAACAAAAAAGGAAAGAGACTCTGATGCCTTCCAAAACAAACCTTTTTTTTTTTTTAAAGCGTGTGTGTTGGGGAAGGGAGGGAGAAACAAGACCCTGATGGCTATGTGGAAAAAGCTACATACTTTGTAAATGACCTGCCATTGGGTGGACCTATAAAATACAGAGGATAGCTTTCTTTGCCTATTCCTTCCAAACCGCAGATATCAACGTGGGGACAAATGGTTCACTCTGCCACTGACGCAGAGCTCAGCTCTGTGTTTGGGGAGCTCACCCGACTTCTGGGCCTCTCTGAGCAATTCCCCCACCCTTTCTTTGTTCTGCCACACTGTGTCTTCCATTATTAGTCATTCTAATAAACACTCCTAATAAACACAGACTTCAGAAACCCATCCAGGATGCTGTTAGGGGCTGTTCTGCTTTCTCAGGAAAGACTGATACCTGAATTAGCTTTGTCATCTGTCCTAGAGGAACCCAGCTGAGATCACTAACACATTCCGTGACAAGCCACAACATAATGGGCATATTTAGTGTACATCCTCTTGTTAAATGGAATCTGCATTCCTAAGTGAACTAAAAATGCTTAATTATTGATAAGTTCCCCCAGGGATTGGTGACATTTGGGATGATTTTATCAGGCCGGAGATATGTAACAACACAACATGTAACATTGGATTGGAATCTAACCTCTTAGAGTATTTCCCTCCCCCGACCCTACCACCTACCCAAATTCATTTTGACTCACCTGGTCCATGAATATCCAAATCCAAGTGGAGGTGAAGGGAGGGTCAGGGAAGGACCAGAAGGCTGGGTGGAAGGTTTCAGATTGAGAACTTGCACTGAAGTAGAGACCATGGTGGTAATGAAGGAATGTTAGCAGAAAGGACTCAGCTGCTAGGCTTCTAGGTTGTTACCAACTGGCCCCATTACTTTAAGAAAATCGCACGATCTCTCTGAGAGAGAATGTTCTCATACATTCCAGAACTTTCTCATCTATTCTGAAAGTTCAATACCTCTTCCTTGACTGCCTGATGGAACTGTAAGCTGTATTATATAGATGAAAGTTCTCCTAACAAAGCGGTTTATAGAGAATGAACTCAGGGCTGGCATGGTTACACACACCTCTAATCCTGACCACTCAGGAGGTCCCGATTGGGATGACCTCAATTCCAGGCCAGCACAGGTGAAAGTTATTGAGAGCTGAGCTCAACCAATAAGCTGGCAGGGTAGTGCACACCTGTGATTGATTCCAGGCGTACAGGGGGCCTAGGCAGGGAGATTACGGCCTGAGGCCTGCTTTGGGCAGAAAAACAAACTAGGAGTCTCTATTGAAAACAAAGCAAAAAGGGGTTGGAGGTGTGGCTCAAGTTAGTAGGTCCTGACTTCACACCCCAGTACTGTCATACACACACACGCACGCACACACACACACATGCACACACGCGCACACACACATACACGTGGGCAGTAGCAGTAACTAAGCACCTTATTCACCAGCTATGTGCCAAATGGCTGTTTTGAATAGTTTAACAAATGCAAAGTCAATCAATTACTTTTTGCAAAACCCCCCAAGACCCATACCCCTGGCATAGGCTGATGGCACTCAGAGAAGAAGCTGAAGCTCAAAGCCTTCGCCTAAGGTCACAGAAGCCAGCGCCAGCGCCAGGCAGAAAGCCTGAAGGGATGAACAGGCCACAGGGAAAGGGAAAATGGGTCACGGCCCTAATTTTTACATAGAAGTGTTCCATCAACTTCGGCATTTGGGTGGTTTATACGAGATGACATACATTATTACAACATGTGACCATTGACATGAAATTTTAATGTTTTGGTCCTCTGTCAATTTCTCCTCACAGTTGTATAAAGGGAGAAAGAATTCCAAGCATGGCGTATACAATAAAGTTTTCAGTAAATGTTCAGGCTGTTGATCCTCTAGTGGCCGGACGGTGCGATTGCTCACTTCACTGGAGAATGACTTCCTTCGCTGGGATTCTGACTCCATTCCCGCTTGGCATCCTCTCCTTCTACCCCGAGACAGTGGCGTTCTCATTTGCACACAAACACTTTGCACGTGGCGGGTCCTGGTAGACAGGGTGCGGCTGGAGATGAAGTTATTGTTGGCTGGTGGGAAGAGAGACGCGCAGAAGCAGGCATTGGAGCCAGGCACCAGAAGCCAGCCAGCACCTGCTTGCCCGGTGACCTCGCCTCCCCTCACCTCTTCACGCTTCAGTGTCTCCATCTGCTCGTGGAGCACACATGATACCTTGCTCCAACGTCTTTGTGAAGCTCTGGGAGATGCTAGAAGGGGCCTCAGTGCTTTCCTGCTTCCTTTATGTGGAAAAACAAAGCCTCATCGATGCTTGAAACTTACAGAAGGGTGATTGAAGAGAAAAAGTAGTTCCATACCTGTATTCATCAATTGCTGATATTCACGACACCTACTTCAACCAGATGGACTTAATGAGTCACTTCAGTGTAAATAAATACACATGAAGTAGGGGGGAAGGTCACATGCTTTCATTCACTGTAGTTTACTAGAAACTGCAGTTTCTAGAAACATCCTGTGTGCTTCCTCTCTTGCTCACATCACGCATTCGGAGTCTGACTGCAGAGATGCAATCTTTTTCCTTCTTTTAGGGATGGGAAGAAACCAGCAGTCAGGAAAGAAGCTGCCGTCTCTACGCAGGTAGTGAAGGACGAAGGGAGGGCAGTAACCCACCTCCTGCTAGACTTCATTCTTAAAGGTTGATTTCTCCTTTCTCTCTAGTTCTTCGCCATCTTCCTTTCACAGGGCTTTCTCCATACCCCATGTGAAGCCCCACCTATCCCCATGCTGGGGGGGGGGGAGATCTCAGACTTGACGGTTTGCTGCGGAGCTTGTTGTATGTTGCAAGCCTGGCCCAAAGCCTGCCAAAATGAAAAAAACAAACAAACAAACACAAAAACTACCGAATGAGTCACTGGGACCTCCAGTCTGGAGCCGGCCACACTTCCCCAAGAATACTCAGGCTTCAAGAACTGCCCTGGGGTTGATTTTGGGCATGTGCTGAGAGTCTGTGGGCCTCTCTCCTGTGACCAGGGTTAACCAGGGTTAGGACTCAGAAGAGAAGGCACTTGATCTGGCCTCTTTTTTCCCCCTGCAGAGAATTAAATTGCAAAGCTGATCAGAGACTGATGAAAAACACACACACAGAAAGGCATCAGCCTGGCACCAATCCACACAGTCACGCCCCGCCTCCCCGCAATCCCATTACTGTTAGAACACCTCCCAGTCAGGACCCCTCAGCACTACTCAACAAGCACCGTGCTGCTCAGATTTTTCTGCATCAAAACAAAAAGAGGTGCGAAGGGAAAACACACTGCAACTGACCGACCGTCTATTGTGGCTGTCGAAGCGCAGCCACTGGCTGCCAACCTAGTTTCCCAGGAGGCTGAGATCTAAGGATGGAGAACTCAAGCCAGCCCAGGCACTCAAATCCTGGTGATTCTTATCTCCACTTAATCGGCAAAAAGCTGAAAGTTGAGCGGTGGCTCAAGTGGTAGAGCACCAGCCTCACTCAAAAAGGCCGATGGTAAGTGCAATGCCCTGCGTTCGAGCCCCAGGACTGGCACCCAAGGGCAGGAACACAGGCTCCAGGCGAGCTTCCTTCCCACCTGACCTGCAGCAGCCAGCGTCAGTGAGCGGTTCCTTTCTGACAGGAGGCACCCCACTGTGCCCCAATTTGGAGCTGCAGCTGGGCAAGGCAGAGCGCGCCTCCGGTGTGGCTTCTCCCTCCTAAGGACCACAGGGAGCCTGGGACCAGAAGCGCTGGTCGGGCAGGAGGCCTGAGCCCAACCTCCAGAGCTGGCCCCTCTTCAGCTTTGGGGGTGATGGGTGGGTGAATTGAGGGCGGGGTACCCTTCCCAACATTTTCAATCCCTCTCTTCCTGAATCCTGATATTGCACCTCCACCGGCGGCCACCATCCCTCCCCCCCCCATCCCCAGCCCCAAGAGCCAGGTCTGGTCCGCAGCCAGACTGGAAGGAATAGCAGAGGGCAGAGAGAGCCCCGCGTCACACATTCAAAGCCTAATTTTGGATCCGAATCATCCTCGCCGTCAAGTCTGACATATCACTCTCCTCCCCCCACCCCGTCCGCACCCGGCTGCTCTCCTAGGGGGAGAGACGGAGACCTGCTTGAGTGTTCATTGCTATTATTATTTTTCTTTCCTTTGTAAAGAAATAATTCTACGTAAGTGGGTGTGCAAAGGGTTCCGATCGGAGCCGACACGGTCCCTCGCCACCTTCTCCCCTAGCTGGCCCAACCCCACCCATGCCTCCAGGCCCTAGATTCCACGTTCACATCTGCTCCCCACCCTTCCTCTCCGCACGGTCCGCTCCCCTCCCCTTGACCTCACCCACCTGACGCCCCCTGTACCCGCTTCCTGGTATTCATTTAGATCAACTGTAAGTGGTTTGTTCAAAAGGACTTACCCACCGAAGCCTCCCTTGAGCAGACCGGGCTTTAATGACTATGTTTGCCTCTGTGTGTGTGTGTGTGTGTGTGTGTGTGTGTGTGTGTGTGTGTGTGTGTGGCTCTGGCTATGTTTACTCACTGACATTTTAGAGCAATACCTCACACTAGCTGCTTCGGGGGGGGGGAAGGGGGTCAGGACAAGTTCCCTACCCCCATCTTTCCGTTCACATTCACAAAGCCCTTCAGTGGAAACTGGAGCCAGAGCCCCCCTCCGCCCCTCCCCGCACGCCTGACACCCCACCTTGCCCCAAATGACACAGACAGAGCAGGGAAGTGGCAGGTGACAGCAGCCACCTGAGAGCCCCCCCCAGCACTGGCCCTAGGAGCGAGGAGAGACAGAATTGCCCCCCTTTCCAAGGGTGTGGGCGCTTCCTTGGGAGAATCTGCTGCTGCCAAGGGGCGGCGGCGTTGCCTCCTGGCTCCCGGCTCTCGGAGCTCGTGTGCCGAGCTGGCCAGCCGGCAGCCGGGAGCAGCTGCTGGTAATTATGCGCTGCAGCTTCAGAGGAAGTTGCTGGCTGGGAGAGTGAGCCAGGCCTGGCCACACATTGGCTGCGGGGCCTTAGGGAACAATGCAGATAGAGACGGGTGGCAGCCGGGGAAGAGCAGGCACAGGGCGAGGGGAAGACAGGCGGGAAGAAAGGGTGAGAGCGGATCCCAGGGCTGGAGGTGGGGAAAAAAACACAATCCAGGCGTGCTCCCCCTCCCCCACCCAGCCAGCCCCACCCCGGCCCAGGCCCCGAGGGCCGGCCCAGCCCCGGACTTTTCTTTTCTAAACTGTACCTGCTGCACGCTGTAGTTAGAGACGTGTGCCTGGCTGACATATTGAAAAGCACTCTTCAGCCTGTTTAATCTAAATTGACTGTATCTCTGGAGCAGCTGGCCATGGGGAAACACACACACACACATACAGAGACAAAACAAAAAAAACAAAACAAAAGAACTCAGGATGAGAAAGGCAGGCTCTCAGGAGGAGCTGGTGCAGCGCAGCAGCTACAGTGTCTGGCTCCCTGCTAGGCCCAGAACCCTTCCTTCAATAGGGAGAAAGAAGGGGGCAAAAGCAATATTCCCCAAACACGAGGTGGGCCATTGAGTAAGTTTTCTTTTTCCTGATTGGAGAAAAACTCACTGTATGGTTGGGTTTTATCTTTTCCAAGGTTTCCTTAGGGTTTGCTAGTTAGAACCTGGTAGGAACTGAACCTGGGGCGCGTGGGGGTCTGAATTTGAGACCTCTGCCTGACTCAGTGTGGCTCTTCACTCATCGGGCGGGCGAGGCAGCCATACGCATGCAGGGCTGTGGCTCCTCCTCCCTCACTTCCTTCTTCCTTCCTTCCTTCCTTCCTTCCTAACTTCCTCTCTCCCTCCCTCTTTTCTTCTTTCTTCTTTCTTCCTTCCGTCCCATCAGCACATCTCACCGTTTCTCCAGTTAGGAATCTCCAAGCACAAAATCAGCACACCCTGTGCTTTTGCCAGCCCAGAGAACAATGTGGAGGCCCTGCTCAGATGAGTGGACAGGCCTGGGATCCCTGTGACCTCTTAGGGACCCCTCTCCACTTAGACAACTCCTGATTTATGTCGCTTTAAAAGGGCGGGCGTCCTACCTGTTATTGGACACTGGCAACACACAAAGCTGACAGCCACATACAATGACACGTTATTGGCTTGGCCTAGTAAATGAGGAGGTAATCCCATTACCTTTCCCCTTGTCCACTGCCCTGCACAAAATGGCTTGAAATGCTATCCATCAGTAGGCACCCACGCAGAGAGATGTGCCTGGCCTCTGTGTGGGCAAAGCAGCCTGGCTTTCTGTTGATTAATGAAAATAAACAATGACACTATTCTCTCTAGGACCTGGGTGGACAGATCTTTGGGACAAATCAAAAGGATTCCCCGCCCCCCCCAAGATCTAAGTGAGTACTATTTTATTCTTCCTTCCCATTTTTATTCCTCCAATTTAAGCCGTACGTTTTCGACGCACACCTTCCTGGAGCTATGTCATTCCCTACAGAAGCCTCACTAAGGGGGGTTTCAATTAAGTAAATGTAAAAGCAATCGCAGCCTCGGCTCTTCAGTCCTCGCCCCTGCTCCCAGGCGCAGTAGTCCTGTGTGGGTGGCACTACCGCGGGAAAGCTCCGCATCATCAGACAGCCCCACCCCGGAAATCCATGCGCCCCTTTATCTCAGGGCTCGCCTTCCTTTTAGAACCCTCTACATATAATTTTTATAAAGATGAAACCGTTTTGTCTTTAATTGCAACTTCAATCAAAATGAATTAGCTTCCTCCCAGCTCCTAAGGGAAAACCCCTAACAATTCTGCTGGTGGAACCTTCTAGCATAGCTGGCAAAGCTGAGGAAGACTTCCATCAAGTCAGCCAGGCTACTCTGGGGCTGTCTGACCCTGACGAGTTCCTTTTGATAATTTTTCTAGACCGTTCTTAATAACAGCTAGAAAAGGCCACTGGGAGGTTAAGTGGTCTATCAAGGAGACACAAGGGTATCAGCATACAAATTTGCACAATAAATAGAGAGTAATAGGTCCTTTAGAATGACATGGTTGTAGCACACTACGAAACCCTGTAGTGAGCCTTTGAAGCTGGGCAGATGCACGGAGCCGGGGAGCACTTTGATGAGGCAGGAAGGGCCTTCAAAGCTTCCAGGGGTAAAGATTAAAACAACTGCCTGCAACCAACTGCTCAGCTCCCGTGTGTGTTTGTGGGGGCAGGGGCTGGATTATGTTAAAATTAAACACACCAAAACCTGCACCGGAGCTCTTAATGAACCACAACAAAGCCAGATAAAGGATGAGACACTTAGCATTTATGCCGGTGAGGAAGTTAGATCAACACTTTTTGAGTTTCATTTTTTATTTTCTAACTTTTGGCCTATACTTTGACTATGTAAAAAAAAATGGTCATCTCACACTCTTTTTGCAAATCTCACCTCTCATGGGAAGACAACAGACAAAGCTAGATATAAACAAGCTAGACAACATGAATACAAACCTCATTCTGAGCTGACCACAATTTAATGGAAGATGAAAATTTTCAAAGCCCAGGCCCCACATAGGTTATTATTCACAAATTCTTATGAGCTTCCATCCAGCCTCATTGTGGCCAGTGTATGGATGGGTAACGGCCCCTTTCTGCAAGCAGATAAGCAGGATGTTGCCACAGTTGCTTTCTTAGACAAAGCTACATTATCACAACGCAGCCATTATGTGCTACAGCCACAACCTGGGCTGGCCATTGGGCTGATCTCTCATCTTGCAAGGAGTAGATGTCAATCTTGGCCTTGTTGGACAGGGAGGGAAAGCAGAAAAAAAAACAGGATGAGTCAAGTCCAGCTTGGGAAGTTTCTAGAGTTAGAGATTTCTCCCTTTCCTTTTTGATCTCCGGGTAAAGATGAGGGAAGGCGTTTTTTTTAATATTCTTCGAGGATCATGTCAGCAAGGCAACTGGAAATGTTCTCAGCAAGGCCAGGTCATCGTATTACCAAATGCCCAAGGGCCTGGCACTGATGGGGCCCTGCTCAGGTGGGGTGAGCAGGTGGGTAGGGAGGGGCATGGGGAGAAAGACCAGAGCTTTTTAACTTATTCCCCTATGTAACCTCTTTCCCCTGCCTTGGGCAGCAAATCCACTTAAAGCTAGCAGCCCAAGGTCCAGGCAAACACCACTGCTGGGAGAGTTGGGCAGGTTTTCCAGCCACCGAACCTCCTGTGGCAGCAGAATGGCTCCGCGTCTGTGCCTTTGGCTGTGTTGTGCAGTGAAATGTTCCCTACTCCAGAGGGGCACAGGGCAGGTGGGGAGGCCGGGCTGGGGAGGCCGGGCTGGGGAGGATGGGGGTGTGTCCCCTGGCCTGGGGAAGACTGAGGTAGCATCACTATTGGAACTCAAGAGACCCGGAAAGAAAGGACCAAGCCATAGCACCATGCTTGATGAGCAAGTCCTGAGCAAAGGATGCTCCTCCATCACGGAACTGGCTGTGTTCCTTCTCTTTACGTCTTCATAAATCATATGCAGCACTGTTGGCATGAGTCATATGGCTCGATAGCAAAGCTCCTGCTAAGCCACCCAGCTGCACGGGACAAAAATACCTCGATGAATAGTGTGTGTTTGTCCTGCATGGTTTATGGTATAAATAGGAAACCAGTAAAATTCAGGGGTTCCCCCAGCCTTGGGTAGCTGAGTCTCCCGCTTCTTTGCTATCTCCTCTGTCCTTCAGCTGTCCAGTGTCTCTGCATAGCCCAACTTCTTTGCCTTGGTGAAGAGAGAAAAAGGTTCCGGACAAGGTAATTTCCACGTGCAGATGGTTCTCCTCTGTCCACGGGCTACGCTTAGAGTGTGAGTCAGTATGGAGCTCCAACCAGGTCTGTGACTCGGTCTTTGCATTCTCGTGGGATAGTGACAGGCACCCCTGTGGTTGGAGGGCTTGCAAATGGCTCGTGAGGTGTGCAATGTGGTGGAATCATGTATGCGTCATCCCGTCGTGCTGTGTTGCGTTTAGGGGTCTCTTAGGTGGGTGAGTGGGGTCAGGGGAGCCGTCTCTCCTCTCCAGATTGAGTCCTTGCAAGGTTGCTAGGTGACCACATTAGACTGTACCCATAGTGCACTAATCCAGGCTACCCCACCCCGCCAGGTTCTTATTCCCGATTTCCCCGAAAGACCTTGAGTTACCCCTGCAGCTCCAACTCCCTCCCATTTCTGCTCTATCTTAAACCCTCCAGATACGTGCTTTCTGGCAGCCCGCTTCAATGTGATTTTGGTTAATATTTAATAATTTCTCTTCTCTGTCCTCCTTGGATTGGGTCCTTATGACTTCTGGGTTATTGCTTCATGGGGTAATGAAGTTTCTGACATTAACGTGTGCTGTTGGCGTACATCTGCCTCATTAATGGAGGTATTACTGTATATGTGGGTCACTTAATATCTGTTCGATGGCATATCACATTTACCTTCAGATTAGGGTATCATTTAATATGTATTTAGGGCTTTGGTATTAAGAGATGTATTTCTTTAATTAAATACATATTTTGAGCCGTGACATCTGACATGTTTTGCTTAGATATAAAGTGTTCATATAATTTGCCTATCGAAGTTCGGTGAAGTATAAAATACACTAATGAGTAGTAGTAAATCACTCAGCAAATATAAACCTTAATTTGTTGGGCTGGCAGGACTAGGAACAGCTCAGCGTCTTCTAGAACCCACTGCTCTTAGATTTGCTTCTCCTTGCCCGGCTGTGGCCTTGCTACTCCCATGCACTAGCCACATTGGTACACTGCGACTTCTGGTGGTTGAAGCCAACAAGGCAGGTGGCAGATGAGACCTTCCCAGGGGTCACTGTGGCCCTTTGAGCTCTCTGCTTACTTCCTTGGTCCTCTCCGGTGTGGAGATAGCAAATGCACTCCAGTGTCCAAGGAAACTGGACTTTAATTTGGGTATGATCTGAACAGATTGCTAAACCTTTCCATACCTCTCTTTCCTTGCCCTTAAAAACTAGTGGTGATGGTTCACACCTGTAATCCCA